CACCAAATTAAGAATTTTTACATTTTTATTTGTAATTCAGTCATATGTACATAAGTATGTATGTACATATGTATATACATACATTGGAGATCAATNAGACTTCTTTCAGTAGGCTTCGAACCGACGATCCCACTGACTCAGCCAGTTGCCTACGCACTAGAGTTGGGAAGTTTAGTTCATTTAAGTGACCAGTGAGTCTAGTTCAAATCACTCAAAAGAACTGGTTCATTTAGTTCATCTAGTTCATTTACGCATTTATGTTATTACTAGAATAACGAAATACAACCCCATTTCTAACACCAAATTAAGAATTTTTACATTTTTATTTGTAATTCAGTCATATGTACATAAGTATGTATGTACATATGTATATACATACATTGGAGATCAATTTTGTAAAAAAACACAAACGAGTATGGCTTGTAAATAAAAATGTGTAAAAAAAGTACTTATAAAGAATTCAGTTCTTATAACAGACTTATACTAAATATGTAAAGCCTGTATTACATTTCATTATTTTTATACCCGAGCGCACTTGTGCACAAGGGTATATTAATTTTGCTGACATACCGGTTGTTTGTAACAGCCAAAACGAATCGAGATAGATATAGACAAATGTATACATAAATGCTCAGAATTAAAAGAGAAATCGAATGTCTGTCTGTCCGTCCGTCTGTCTGTCTGTCCGTCCGTCCGTGTACACGATAACTCGAGCAAAAATAGAGATATCTCAATGTATGGTATGTAGGTTTCCATTAACACAAGGTAGGTTGGTATTGAAAATGGGCGAAATCGGACTGTAACCACGCCCACATCCCATATAACTGTAATTTTCGGAAATACGAAAACTGTGATATTTTAGTAACTACTAAAGATTATTCACTCAAAATTGATATTTACAATAAGCTTTAGACGAAAAATAAGAATATTATAAATTTTTGGAAAATGGGCGTCGCCACGCCAACTTATGGTAACATGGGTATATCTTGGTAACCGCTGCACCAATTTCTTTCAAACCTGGCACAGTTATTGGCATCGGTACAACATACCAAATGGCCGAAACTTTTTAAAATCAGACAATAACCACGCCCACATCCCATATAACGGTAATTTAGAGAAATACAAAATCTTCGATAAATCAGTAAATATTAAAGCTAATTTATTCAAAATCGATGCATGCAATTCTTTACCAAGAAATACGTTTATGATAAAATTTTGGAAAATGGGCGTGGCACCGCCCACTTATGACCACATATATGTATCTCGGTAACAGTTCTACCAATTTGTACCAAACTCGGTATGGTTATTGTGGTTGCCACATAAATGCAAAACGTTGAAAATTATCGAAATCGGAATAAAATTACTTCCGCTTTTCCTATAACGATAAATTTCAGAAATGCTTGAAACTTAAATATTTCGAAATTTAAGGACGCTAATTTTCTCAAAATTGATACACCCCGGCTTACAATGTAGCGGTAGCTTTCGGAAAGGTGAAAAACTTATATTTAATACTTGCGCCGGGTATTTAATGTTCGGCTCCGCCCGAACTTAGACTTTCTTACATTTGAATTTGTTCAAAAACAAATGAGAATATAATATTAACTTGTTTTAAACATTGATCACAATGGTTACAATTAGATAATTTAGATATTGTACTTTACATATTGCTGTGCAAAAAAAAAAATTTTTTCTACCATGGTTGGCTTCAGTAAAGTACGTCTCTTATTACTAGGCCCGCGCTAGAGAATACCCTTTCGCAAGGCACCGATGTAGCCACTATACAAAATCTTTTCAAAATATGCCTGTATAGATTGGGATATGTTTCCTTGCGCACATGCCACCATTCCAGTGGATTATGGTTGCGATCTAAATAGGGTTCACTCAAATATCTATTCACTTCTACAATCGCAGCTACAGTTTTGTTCTGAGGCTTTACAATATTTCTGACATCTTTGTCGTAATCGTACCAAATATTGTTAACAGCTTGCGCCTGCGAATCGGGAATCACAACTTTTGTTTCAGTTTGAGAATAATCCGTCTGTACAATCTTATTTTTAAGGCTTTGAATAGCAGTATCACACGCATTTGGTTCTCTAAAACCCTGCCTCAAAGATCTATAAAACAATGAAAGCTTTTCGTTTTTTGGCGAAGTCTTTGCTAAATACCTTTGAATAAGATTGATAAAAACGATAACTTTAGATAGCGTCACATCTATTTCAGAAGAGATTCCCGTAGTGATGCCATAAAAAGGCTTAAGTAATGGTAAAGATCCTTCTATTATCTCCCATTCAATGGTGTCTATAATAAGATCGGGTCTCAAAATGGCAATTGTGCTCATAACAGCGTCTTTAACTTCTATTATACGAGCCAACATATCGTATGTAGATTTCCATCGCGTTGGCACACTTTTCTTCAATTTTAAAATAGGCAATTGCGTTTCTACTTGAAAGTCCTTTAATTTTTTTAAAGCTTGGCTACTGCGGTTGAAATATACAACAATATTTTTAACTTTGTCTACAACTGCCGGGATTCCAGTAATTGCTTTCTGAACAATCAAATTAAGTAGGTGTGCAAAACAACCTATGGAACGCCACTCCCCTAACCTTACGCCACTTAATGCATTTGCAGCGTTGTCGGTAACTATGGCGGCGACTTTATTCGAGATACCCCAATTCGCAGTCACTTCTTTTAAAAACCCATATAAATTTTCACCAGTATGACTACAATCAAGCTCTCTGCAGCACAAGAGAGCAGAACAAAGCGTGGTGTTTTTATCAATAAAATGAGCAGTTACAGCAATGTAACTGATGTTGGTAGAAGACGTCCAGCCGTCGGTTGTGAGACAAACTGCAAATGTATCTTGCAATTGGCTTTTAATTTCTGATTCTAAATCATTATAAACTTTTGGTATCAAGCTTTGAGACAAAGTTTTCTTGGCGGGTAATTTATAACCGCCGCACTGTGATACCATGCTGACAAATTTCACCATCTCCGGCTCTTCCACTAAACGCAGCGCATGATGGCCTTTAGCTATCATCTTGACTAGTTGATGGTTGATTTTATCCGCCTTTTTGGTGGTTGGCTGCTTTGATATATAATTTGTAATTACCGGTTGCTGCGACTCCCTCTGCGAAAGGTGTTCACTTTGTGCCGATGGCTGCGTCTGATTCGGTTGCTCTACTGGCGTGTCGTCTTCGTTGTCTTCATTGTCATGGATTGAGCCTTGCCAAGGAATAAAAGGGTGCTTTAATTTCATATGCCGTTTGAGGTTTCCCACCGATCCTCCATTGTAGCTGATTTGTGACGAACAGTGCTTGCATGTAGGTTTCTTCGCACCCCAATTCTTGAAATTGTTCAACACAAAGCTTCTTTTTGCTGGCATCTGAATAGAAATATGTATAGAACATAGCTTATAATTTTTAAATACACAAATCGAATGTAAAATACTTACATTTACTCCAAAAACACTAGTGCATAGCTTTCGCGGCAACGGAAGAAGAATTGGCGCAAATATGAAAGTGCTACCACCACGGTTGTCACATCATAAAATTATGTAGCTGCCACTATCAATTTGTTGCAATGATAACTTAGGGCCCTGTCACACGGTCAGTATTTATTGACGTGATCCAAGTATCGCGATATTTATTGACGGTGTAGCATACAATATTGATGGATCGTGATCCATAACGCAAAATTTCTAAAAATTTTGAAATCTGGATAGCGGATCGCAATACCGTCAATAAATATTGTTCGTGTAGCACTTTCAAAACGTGATCCATAAATTTCGTCATTACATCTTTTACTTTCATAATGCGAACATCGAAAAGGTATTCGCTCTGCCTTCGCTCTCGGTGCTTAAAACCTTTCAAATCAAACTGAAAAAATTTTAATTAACATTGAAAATTTTAAAATAATTGTGCAATGCACTATCTGTAAATTATACGTAGAAAATAAAAATATTTTCTTGCTTCATAATAACCGTTCAGCACAAATACTGACGCGACAAATATTGAACATGTAGCATTCGTGCGCGATCCATCAATCCATCAATATGGATCGCGATCCAAATATCATGATAATTACTGACCGTGTAACAGAGCCCTTAAAATGTTTGGAAAAAATTAAAATAACCCAGGGCTTACACCAGACAATTTTGTCATAACAGTAGCACTACATGCACACTTTTCCAATGATACATGCACATATATTTAAATATCTGAATCACTGTACTGAATATATTTTATGACAGTAAATCAGTGTATCAATATATAAACTTTATCCAGTGGAGACGGCCTGTAATACAAAATAAGTGGAGTATGAGAAATTTTTGGAGTATGGCAAATCCACTCGTTCATTTGGAATTGCGAACTAGTTCACTTAGTTCACCACGTGAACTAGTTCAGTGAACGATATAGTTCGTGAACGACACAACTCTACTATGCACCGTGCTAAGTACGCCTTGTAAATTATCGTTTGCTTTTTTCCACTATTTTCATTTTTGTTATGCCAACACAATCAAGCGCAGCTATTCCGCTGCAATTCACTTGATCATGTGGTTGTTGGTATTGTTGGTTTTTGCTAATAATTCTATTTTTAGAATGTTTAACTTTTAGGTGTGCTCGTCCTTAAGTTATTTGTTTTTGTTATTTTTTGGCCTTATAACAATTATATTCAACAATTTTTATTGAGCTCGAGGCCGTTTTTTAATGAAAATTTATTGTGGAAAAGCAACAATAATTTGAAAAAATGGTAGAAGTGATAGCTATTTCGGAAATCACCACATTTCCTCATCAGACTTCTTTCAGTAGGCTTCGAACCGACGATCCCACTGACTCAGCCAGTTGCCTATGCACCGTGCTAAGTACGCCTTGTAAATTAGCGTTTGCTTTTTTCCACAATTTTAATTTTTGTTATGCCATNATCAGACTTCTTTCAATAGGCTTCGAACCGACGATCCCACTGACTCAGCCCGTTGCCTATGCAACGTGCTAAGTACGCCTTGTAAATTAGCGTTTGCTTTTTTCCACAATTTT